GGCAGCCCTGCATCATGTATGTATGAATGTCCGTATGTCTGTATGCCTGCACGTCTGTAAGTCTGTATGTATAGATGGATAGGTGATAGATAGATGGGTAGATAGATGGATATGGGTGGGTAGATAGATAGATAACTAGGAATGGGGGAAGCAAAAGACAGAGAAAGAGAGACACCAGTGCAACCCATGACGAGAAGGTTGAGAGCGGGCCGCTGAAGACCCTATTCATCAGGGAGCTCATATGAAGCCGTAGCTGGGCTTTCAGTAACTTGGCGCCTATGTTTGAATTGAAGATGCTTACAGGAGCTTCATGAGTTGCTGTCATAGTTCCGTCTCCCCCGCACCACGGGCTCCAAGCACCTCCCCCCTCTCCAGGGCATCGTTGACCTTGTCGATGACCATGGTGACCTGCACATCAGCCCAAGCCAAAAAAGAGAATCGCACACAAGACCGTCATAGCCCTGAAGGCGAAGATGAACTAAAAGCTGACAGGGATCCTTGATCTACTCCGTGATGGTTTTACGTGGCCATCGGGAGTATAGGGGATGTAGTTACGACTTCATCAAGCCCCTCTGCTACCGAACCCTAGACATCGCTTAAGCGCAGAAGAAAGTCTAGAACGGGTTTGAGTAAAGGAAGACTGGCTTGGATGGTGAGAAATGCCCGTGTACCAGGAAGTAGATGTGGACTTGCATGCCCCTTTGTTGCTATGAAGCCGATCACGGTCTTATAAGTCCTCTGACTGCTGCCTGCCGCACTCCAGCGTCAGCACAAAGGACTGACATTTAGCAGTCATCTGCAATAGTCTTGAAAATTAAGAAACTCGGGTCGAGGTTGAAGGGCCTGCATTTTCAGAAATGTACTTGCAAGCCGACGCCCGCAAAGACTACACCAGAAACCGGCTGGTCCCCAGACCCCACATCAAGACAAACATCCCATACTGGGAGGAGAATTCCAGCGCGACCTGCCTGGGGGTGCAAGTTGTTTTCATTTTCGACAAGCGCACTCGCACAGGCAGGCACGGATCCACACACGAGTCCCACAACAGCAGCACTTTCAGGGAACGAAGGTGGCTTTCAAGGTATGTCTGCTACCGAGCAGTTTTCTGCACGAAGTTCTGCAGAGGAGCGCAACTTAGAGCAATCACCACTTCGATCCAAGGGAGTTCAATCGGTTCTTTCCGCCGCCAGAGTGTCTACAGGCTACTCTGCCCTCCAATACCAGTCCCCAATATACCCTCGCTTTGAACCCCGGTGAGAGCTACAGTACGATTTGTCCCTCCAGGTCATTGCAAGACGCAGCGCGACCGCTCTGGCGGCGGGCCAAAACGCGTTAGGTTTGGCTCCAGCTTGTCCATCACGGAAAGCAAGATGTGCCGAAGGACCGCGTCTACACTCTCGTGATCTTTGGCAGAGGCCTCGAAGTACGTCAAACCGTTCGCCGTAGCGAAAGCCTCGGCCTCTTCATTGTTGGCAGGAGCAGCAGCATCCGCCTTGTTGCCCACCAGGACTCTCTCTGCTGAGACATTCTCCGACGCGGGTCCGTTCAGCAAGCACTGAATCTCAAAAAGCTGGAGGGTCTTCAGGTCCGCCACGAAGATTAACGCAGTCTTTCGGAACATACTACGATGTACTTCGGAATTCCAGCCGTAGTGAGGTCCATGCAAGTCCCAGACGAGAAGCCGAACGGGAACCATGCTGTCCTCCTTCTCGACTCGGAGGTTCACAACCTTCAGTTCTGGAGTGACGTGCCCGTAAGTGTCATCCGCATGGAACGGCGATCCACATACTGATTGAAGAAGCTTGTGTTGCCAGCCACGCGCTGCCCGCAGATGCCGATCTCAACTCGCTGGAAGTCAGAGGTCTGCCTGCCAATGCGCTCAACGAGCCTGGGTTGTTGCGGGTGTAGGAGCTGCAGCAGGCCCAGGGAGGCCAAGGTCTCCTGCATTTGTAGCGGCCGATCTTCGAAAAGCAGCTGCAGCCGAATCTTCGGGTCGCAGCCGAGGGACGCGCGAGCCCTTTGCAGCACTTCACTGATGGAGGCAGCAGGTGGAAGCTCGAACTCTGTGAAGGACGATCCAGAGAGTTGTAGCAAGCGGATGGTGTACATTGCGAGAGCGCCCTAAAGCCCGGAAGGAAGGCTTTTGACTTACAATCTCGAAACAAGGCCCAAACGTAAACCCTCAGCTCGAGTGATTGCCACAAGAGAAGTCACAAGTGTTGCTAGGAACTGTGACTTTGCCCAGCTTCTAAACTCGCGATGACAGTCCGTAATTCAAAACATCACATCTGCTTGAAGCGTAAATGGGCCGACCTTGATCCAAAGCTGGAGCCAAAGGGTTTACGCTCTCACAACTCGGACAAACCAGGCGAGGTCCATGGTGCGAAGGTCGGTGTGAAAAGGAACTTCGTATCCCCCTTCCCGTAGGACCAAGTCAAACAAACCAGCATCTAAGACCCTTACCGTCAAAGCGCCTAGAGGGGACACGACTGCGAACTACAGCAAACTAGCATGCGCAAACGGCACAAAGAAAACCCCCAAACACCAAAAGACACCTAACAAACAGAGATAGCATAGCAACTACCGACGGGCCAATTATTCAATTACCGAGGTATTCTCAGTCCAGAGTAGTGTGAGTAGTGACTGAGAATACCTCGGTAATTGAAT